CTATACCTGAGATTCTGTCTTCACATTCTTTTATTCTGTTGCATACGCTTTCAATGGAGTGTTTAATCTCCTGGATATCTGTTTGAATCTGTTTTTTTTCCTTTTTATTGAGTTTATTGGTACAATCTAGGTCTACAATACAGTAACATTCATTACTGGGATCATGTACCTTCACATGACAGGTGTTTGAATCTGTTTGATGGATTCCATTGCTTTCCTATGTTGGGCGTTTATTATTTCCATTTCTTTCTTATGCTGGGCCTTCATGGCTTCTATCTTGGTCCTGAGCTCATCTATTTTTTTGTCAGTTTCTGTTCTAGAGTCTTGAATCACAACTTTCATTTTGCTCAGCAAATCTATTGTTTTCTGGGAAATTATTTCTGTTTTGAATTTTTCTAGAGCCTGATTGATCTGTTTTGTTACTTCCTGTGCTTTGAGTTCAGGGTGTCCTGGTGGTTCACTATGGGCCTTTTCATCCTCATTTGCCCTACTGTTTGCCATTGGTGAACTGGAAGTCTGTCTTTGTGTCTTGCTTAAGTGTTTTCTCATTTTTATTTTTGTTGTTGAGCTGTCCTTGGTTTAATCTCTGGGTTATCACCCAAATCTTCGTGATATAGTTGTGCCCTAGCTTCTGTGTCTCTAACGACCCACAGACATTCTCATCTTCATAACATCAGAGAAAACAGCTCATCAAATCAACCACAATCCTTTATCCCAACTAATACAATCAGCAACACAATATGATCAAGCGCAACTTGGAAACTGACCACCTGTGGTAGTCAGTAGTCTATCACCCTTAAACCATTTGAATTAAATTGAAATCAAGAAGCAGTCCAGAACATGTCTGCAGTGAACAAAATTTCAGTATAGTGTATTTACCATTTAATGGCTCAGACAGAGCGAGGATGCAAGACCCCTGATCTCAGTTAGCTGATGGCTGAACTCCATGACGCTGACTGACCTCTGGCTGCAAGGACCAGATTGAGTTCCCCATCCTTCTGAATGGTTGAACTCCACCACGTTCTATTACAGGTTTCCCACGCCCTTTCTTTAAAGATGTTCAAAGTTGGGAACACAGAAAAATACCCTTTATGACCACCTCTGCCTCTGCAGAGTGGGTCCAAAGACTGGCACAGTCAGGAGGTCTGAGAGTGTGTTGGTGGGGGGGGTTGTTAGGGGAGTTGTGGGGCTTCAGGGGTGCCCGCGTGGCTACCTTCTTGGCACTGGAGCGATGGTGGCTCTGGTGGGAGAGGGCGTGGATTTCCTTCCTGCAGTGAATCAGGGCCCAGGCAGCCTTCCTGGCGGTGGAGCAATGGTGGCTCTTGCTGAGCGAGATTGTTTTCTTTTAGGGCTTGAAATACTTCATTCCAACCTTTCCTTGACTTGAGGGTTTGTGTCAAAAAGCCTGTTGTGATTCTGATGGCTTTCCTTGAAAGGTGATTTGTTTCTTTTCTCAAATAGCTTTTTTTTTTTTTTTTTTGTTACTGAGGATCGAACTTGGGTCCTTGAGCTTGTGAGGCAGGCAGCAGAACCACTGAGATTAATCCCTGGCCCTGTAACAGGTTTTAATATTCCATTGTGTTGCATTTTTGGAATCTTAACTATTGGATAACTTGGTGTAGATTTTTTTTAATAGCTAATTGTAGTTCTTTATGCCTCTTTTATCTGTATGTCAAATTATTTTTTTCTATTTGGCAAATTTTCTGTCATTACTTTTGTGAATAGGATTTTTATGTCATTTATACTACCTCTTGCTTTTTCATTGACTGATCAATCTTACGTTGTTATTCTTTGTATCAGTTAGCAGCTGCTGGATTGATTTCTGTGATCCCTTGCTTTTTTTTTTGGTACTGGTGATCGAACTTGGGACCTTGTATTTGCAAGGCAGGCAGCAGAACCATTGAGCTAAATCCCTGGCCCAATACCTTGCTATTTTTTTTTTTTTTATTGAGTTTATTGGTACATTCTAGGTATACAGTACATTTACATTCATTACTGGGATCTTGTACCTTTACATGACAGGTCTTGGTTCTCATTTTTTCCCCTTGTCCCTGCCCTCCCTTCACCCCCGATACCTTGCTATTTTAAAGAAATCTTTCTTTTAAGAAATCTGCAATCCTGTCTTCTATATCTGATGCTCTCTCTTCACATTGGCTCATTCTGCTGTGTATACTTGCAATGGCATTTTTAATCTCCTGGATATCTGTTTGTATCTGTTTCATGGATTCTATTTCTTTCCTATCTTGGGTGTTCATGCTTTCCATTATTTTTCTAAGCTCTATTTTTTTTTCTGTGTCTGTTGTAGAGTCACTAACCATGTCTTTGATTTTGATCACCATTTCTAGTTATTTGAAAACTCTGCTTAGATTTTTTTTTCCCAGGGCTTCATTCATCTGCTTTGTTACTTCCGTACTACTTCAGAAATCCAAGTGTGTGGGTTTTGAATTGTTCTACCTCATTCCTCCTGGGTTTGCTTTTGAGTTTTAAGTTTGAGGTTACATCTTGCTTATGTGTCTTCTCATTTTCCAGTTTGTTTAATTCCTGGTTTGATGCTTGTAAATTGCTTATGGCAAATACCTTTATTTTTAGTATTTAGAACCTTTAGGAAATAACTACTTCTCAGAAGTGTTTTTCAGGTGTAGCTGGCTTTTGGGTTTTGAGTCTATTGCAAGATCCCACCTCTCCAGTTTATTGGGGGATGAGAAGTTACTGCCCATTTTGCTTAGCCCTTGGTTCTTTGGCACTGGCACGTAGTGTTGTTTATGGGCAATCTCAGTCATGACATACCGGGAAGAACAACTCATTAGAACAATTATGTTACCTAGGCCAGAGTAGTACAGTCAGCAACAATGATACATCACATATAGCCTAGAAAATGACAAACTGATAACTATTAATTTGCCACCTTTAAATGTATGAAGTAGAATTGTACTTATATAACAAAATCTAAAGCAGACCAGAAAATTGTATACATTAATTGTACCCCCCATATGGCAGTTCTCCTCACAGGAGAAAATTTAAAGGAGGTTGTTTACTACTCTGCTATCTTCTGGAATCTGCCTATTATTAAATTTTAAGCTACTTATTTGCCACAATTTGTAATGCAGACTTTTTGCTAACAAGTCTACTAAGAAATGTGAATATATCCTCTAGTGTTCTCAATTTCTGTGTAGTCCTCTTTGTTCTTGGGTGCCATTTCATCCAACTGTTTTCTGAAAGTCTTAGGTGCTCCAAAAGCATGAGAAAACATTTTGTTCAAGAAAGTAAAACATTTCATTTTATAGCCTACCTTTAGCTCAATTCCACATTATAGAAAGACAATTTTATCATTGTCTTTTGTTTTTGTTTCCCTCTGTTCAAGTGCTGATATTATTGTCTTCCTGGTCCTGTAGTAGATTGATAGCCTTATTTCATTAACCAGATAACAGACAACAGTGGTAGTCTAATAGCAGTTTTGAGAAACTTATACAGTATTTAAAAACCCAACTTAACACCTCAGTTAAGCTGTGTTTAAAAAAACCTGATTTGAAATTCTGCATACATTAATGCTGAACCTTTACCATACCAGTATATTGAGAACATCATGTTTGTTAAGAGGGATTTAAAACAAGTTCATATTGAATTCAGACAGCATTGTATTGACATTTCAAGGCCTTTCAGTAACTGCATGTACCCATGTCCGTACAATGTAGTGTTTGTACACCTGTCTTGCTATCTCAGCTATCTAGACTGTGACTAATAGGCTAGGGCAAAGTAGAGCTCAAAGCTTAGATTAGATGACATGAAATTAATCACTAATGCTCCAGTTTTTCTCCCCAAAGGAGCCCTTCTTTATTTACTTAAGGTCTGTTAACTTATCTCGTACCTTTGCCAAGTTTAGCTGGGTGGGTTCTCTGAATTAGAAGGCTGAGAAGGCATGCTGATGAAGGCAAGCATGCTGATGGCTCTAAAAAGTAACTGTGAGATGAGCATGGCGACATACACCTGTAATCTCCAAACTCTGGGAGGCTGAAGCAGGAGATTTGAAAATTTGAGCCCAACCTGGGCAATTTAGGGACATAGTGAGACCCTGTCTATAAGTGAATAAATCAATGGACTGGGGGTGAAGTTCAGTGTGAAGGCCTGGGTTTATTCCATACTACTGAAAAAAAGAAAAAAGTAATTATAAAATGTCAGTTAGGTATAATTCAAAGTATAGAGAACTTTTAAGCAATTTAGCATGAGAGCCAACCACCTCATAAACATGAGTAGCCCTCAAGAGTATAATTAACTTTTCAATAAAATATTACAAAGTATTTCCTCAATTCTAAGGTATATGTGTGTGTATATAAAACATTATATCATAATACTTTGGAAATAAAATTTATTGTAAAATTAGGTTGTATGTTTAATATGATAGTAATTTTTGCCTGGGGGGGATAAGTTTTTGTTGTATGTCATGGTCAGTGGCGTCTTATCACAGAGAACATAGTGGTGTCTGCAATGAAAACACTCTTTAAAAAAAAAAGATTTTTTTTTTTTAAATTTTTTTATGTTTTGGGGGTACCAGGAATCAAACTCGGGCCCTTGTGCTTGCAAGGCAGGCACTGACTGGAACCACTGAGCTAAATCCCTAGCCCAATAGCAGTCTCTTTTTAAAGGGAAGGCTCAGAATTACAGAACTCACTTGCTAAGAGTGTTTTCATTGCAAAAAAAAAAGAATGAAAATGGTTTGGGCCAGGGATTTAGCTCAGTGGCCGCCTGCCTCGCAAGCACAAGGACCTGAGTTCAATCCTCAGTACCAAAAAAAAAAAAAAAGGAGACTGCTATTAACATTTTTTCTGAAGGAGTATGAAACTATTTAAAGCTTGCTTAAATTATCTAGAAAATGTATTTATGTGGAAATTGTTTATTTGTGATAAATGAGCATTGTTATTTGATTTAAGATGCAATGGTTAAAAAAAAAAAGATGCAGTGCTATCCTGAGTTTCCCTTTCACACATGCTGCGTTTGTTTTACAGGTGCCTAAGCCCGTGCCTCAGCCTCTAGATTCTTCCTCTGCCCTTCCAAAGGATCCAGTACTAAGGAGAGAAAAACTGCGGGATCTGATGACCCAGATTCAAGGAACTTGTAATTTTATGCAAGTATGAGCCATTAAAAAAGTAATCTCAAATGATATTTGTGGGCTGCTACCTTTCAGTCTGAAGCATTACAGGGAAATTGCTGTGTGTGGACCCCGCTGCCCAGAGTAGCTTGAGTCCTGGCTCTGATAGCTCTCTTCTGGATGCACGTTAAGTCACTCTCTGCCCTTTTTTCTTTGATAATATGAAGATAATGATTCTATCTCCTTAGTTTGTTATAGTTTTAATATTTGACATACCTAAAGGTTTGGCAGTTGCTTTATTTTTTGCAGTGTTGGAAATCAAACCCTTGCACAGGCCAGGCAAGTGCTCCAAACTGAGCTACATCCCCAGCTCAGACAGTCACTTTAGAGTTTAATTTTTACTCTTAATTTCTTTTTCTATAAAGACTGTTTTTAGCATCTTTACATAGTTATTAGCTAGATACTGTACATTTCTTTTTTTTAAACTCGGGATCGAACTTAGGACCTTGTGCTTGTGAGGTGGGCATTGGCACAACTGTACTAAATCCCTGGCCCTATATACTGTACTTATAAGATAATAGATTATGGCCAACACCATGAATAATTAGAAGGTAATACCTTTTAAAATGAATACTGTAATCTTTGTTCCTATTCATTATTAAAATTTTTGTTTTTAGGAATCTGTTCTGGATTTTGACAAACCTTCAAGTGCAATTCCATCATCACAACCTCCTTCAGCTTCTTCAGGTAGCCCAGTAGGTATGTAATCTTTCTAATGATTTAGAGCAAATAGTTTTAGAACAGTTGTTTTTTTTACAAATTGTCTATTCTGCTTAGCTTAAGGGTTAAACTAAATATGTCTCTGTTAATCTAACTGTACCTATTGACCATTATATATGAGTCGTATATGGATACATTACTTTTAAGACTTTAATGTGCTTAATGACTTGTTTGTATTTTTTGGAGAATGTCTCTAGATGGGTGAATAGAAATGCTCAATTCTATTTTTGTGATTTTTTAATATTTTTCCTGGAGTCATTTCTGTCCAGGCCTTACTTGACTCCTTTCTAGTGTTGAGGCTTTGGGTCCCTAACTGTGAGTGAGATTAACACAGTAACCAGCAGTGGAGCCTGGGTTTGACTTGACCTGATGCTTCCATCCTCAGGCTCTTTGCTCTGTGCTGGTTTCTCTCAGGCAGGGGTGACGTAGCCAAAGCCGCCGCCCAGCTATAGTGAGCAGCGTGAAGGAGCGCAAGTCTGGCACAGTGCTTCCTGGGTGAGGGAAGGAGAATAAATACAGAGGAAGTAAGTGCAGTGATAGCTACTAACAAGAACCCAGGCTGGAAGCTGTGTGCCTGAAAACACATTCATGTGCAACACCAGAGGGGAAAATCTAAATAGCTTGCTTTACAGCTTGTGTATTGGTTAATTACTATTTATGATAACTCAGATTTTATATTCTAGATTTCTTTTTTTTTGGTACTGGGGATCAAACTCAGGTCCTTGTACTTGCAAGGCAGGCAGTGGAAGCACTGAGCTAAATCCCTGGCCCTATGTTCTAGATTTCTATTACCAGTTATTTTTAAAAGTCATAGTTCTGTTTTTGGAAGCCTTGAAATTCTGTTTTTACCCATTTAACCTTAAAGCATCAAGTATCACCGATGAACTTAGTGTTTCTGACTGTGTGGACTTCTTTGGCTGTTTAAGTTCTTGTAGAAGGTGCATGGTGGACGTCTAGTTGGTGCTTTTTCTGTAAAATGTAAGTTTTAGTTTATTCCAGGTTCATTGATGTGCATTAACTTTTCTCTCCCCTCCATAATGCTTGGTTTATTTCAGTTTCTGCAGTATCCACAGAGCAAAATATGACCACTCAAAGTGATTTTCTTCAAGAGCCATTACAGGTAACTTCTCCAAATTCGTCTTTCGTTGACTTTTCTAAGTTATTTAGAGAAAGACTTCTTGCTTTGGCAAGAATGATAGACTGATTGCAAGGGATCTAAGTTATTAAAAATGTTCTAGGTTTTTAGATTAAACCTCACAAGATTCTTCAGTGACTATGCTGAAAGCATCAGTTATAATAGAGAAAGTTAGCTGATTCTAATAAGGACAGCAAGCCTTAAGAATTCAGAGGTACATTGTCTGAGAATTTTACTTTATTACTGGGCTCTATAAATCACTTAGTATAATACATCAGTATTATAGAAGATCTGAAGAAAGAAAATAATTGTTTCAGGTCTCTTGGTTAACCAGTTCTTTTCCTCCCCTCTGAATATTTCACATTCTGAAGAACTAATTTTCAAAGAGTAAATTTAGAAATACAAAGGGATAGCCAGGTGCAATGATGTGTGCCTGTATTCCAGGACTTGGGAGGCTGAGGCTGGAGGATCCCAAGTTCCAGCCCATCCTGGGCAACTCATTGTCTTGGCAAGGCTTTATCTCAAAGAAGGGCCAAGTTTGTAGCTCAGTGGGTTCAGTCCTGAGTACTGCAAACCAAAACACAAAGGATCAAGTTATTGATATGTCTGAATGCCATATTGCATTTCCATTAATGGTAGTTAAGCTTCACTGGCTTTCTGGTGATGACTTTTTAAAAAGTTTTCTCAGTATCTCTCTGACAATTTTCTCGACTGTAGCTTTTTGACAGAAGTTAAGTATTTTGGTTGGCTCAATAGTTGTACTATTCCCTTCCAAAAATATAACTGTCTATGGTGGTTTATGTGTAGTTCAGTAAGTTGGGGTGCAGTTGTGTTTGTCCAGGAGAGTGTGTTGATGAGGTTGTGCTGCATCCTCCACTCTAGCACTGTTTCACTGGAGGAGTCCTTTGTGTCTGCTCCAGGTGTTGGGTTTCTGTGGAAGGCCTTGCATTGACAACCACTGATCTGCCTAGTGAGGAGTTCTTAGGTGCAGGCCTGTAGGACGCCTGCATCAAAATCCTCCAATCTCTTGTAAAAATACATATTTTTAGGTTTTACCTGAGACAGCACTTTAGGCCTGTTCTAATCATTTATATTTTTAATAAGTGCCCTGGATGAAGCTGTATTCGTATTTGGAACCACTGGTCTCAAATACCATGTTTACTCACTAATACTCAACTGCTTCTAGCTGGTGTACTTAAAGAGCAAGAGCTGCTGCTTCTAATGAATCTGAATAGAAAGAATATGTGTCTTTATTTTCATTTTGTTGTTGCTGTTTGTTGTTGTTGTTTTTTTTTTTTTGAGACAGTGTCTTTGAGGCTGCCGTGGAACCATTGTGTAGCCCAGGCTGGTCTTGAACTCACAGCGATCTTCCTATCTCAGCCCTATCAAGTGCTGGGATTACAGGCATGTGCCACCATGCCTGGCTGTTAAGCTTTTTTTTGTGAGGCTGAGGATCAAGCTGTAGACCTTGCGTGTGCTAAGGACTATACCACTAAGCTATACACAGCCTCTTGCAGTGACCTTTTAAGTAAAACTTCAGTCTACTAAAGCTCAAGTATCAAATGACCGAGAGAATGTAATGTAGCATCTCTGACAAGGGGAGCTTTGTTAGTGGTGTTAAGTTACGTCCATACAACACCCAGTCACATTTATTTTGGGCACTTAGGGTTTTAATGAGAAGCACAGAAGAAAGGCATATTTTTAGAAACATTCCAATCTCATAATAGTTGTAAATTTTTTGTTGAATCAAAGTTATGCCTATTTAGGTATATAAAATGTTCTAAAATAATTCAAATTTTTCTTCCCATAAGTGCTTTATTAAGCGTGGTCCTTACTCTTTTTCTAGTTGCGTGTCATGAAGGTCCCTTTGTAAGGCTGTGGATGGGTATATAGCTTCTCTGCTATTTGGTTACTACTTGTTAGTTTCCAGTTCACCTGTTATACTGCTTGAGCTTCTGGGAACTGCACAGAAGCACTTAGATGAAAGGGTTGGAATCACTCACTTCAGACTGCTGTTGCCCGAGTTTTAGTTGTGTGCTATATTCTAGTATCTGTTGTGCTGTAGCTTTCCTCCCTAGCTGCTCTTAGTGTTTCATTGGTCACAGTGGTCACAGCCTTAGTGTCGACTGTGCTTGCTCTTGAATTTTATTTTGTATATTCTCTCAACTTCCAAGTTTCACTAGAATTTTGGTGCCATGTGGTTTTATGTAGAGTGTATTCTGTTCATCCTTGGAACAGCAAGGCTCGTGGAGTGGAAGTGGAGTTGTGATGGCCTGTAGTGTGGATGTGCCTGGACTTACTTCAGTGACTGCTGTGAAGGCCTCATTGGAAGCCTAGCCCCGGGCCGAGAATCTGGATGAGTGAGAGTGGGATCATCAGAAGGGTAGTTTGTGCCCAGTTCTGGAATGGCAGTGTAGCAGACTGTTGGATTTGAATCTTACCTCCTACACTTAGTTTTAGTGTGATCCTGGGCAAATTGACCTTTCTGTGTGTGATTGTCAATAAGATAGGGTTGTAGCTACCAAGCAGGCTCAGGGTGAAGTGCCGGGCACTAAGAATGCCAGTAAGAGGAGCATTAGGAAGCCTAGGTCCCAAGAAGTACAAAGTGAACAAAATGTACCTTTCACAATACTTTAAATCTTCCTGTGTCTAGGCTGCTTCTTCTTCAGGTACTTGTAATTGAAATGCTTGGTTGGTTTCTACTGATCAGGCTTCTTCGGGCTCTGAAACAGAGTTTATGACCTCAGAGACTCCTGAGGTAGTATAAGATCAGTTGTCTTGATTTCTTTTCTGTTTCAAAGAATAGAGGAGCCAGTTTATCTTACAAATTTACAAGCATGATTAGTTGAAAGATAAAACATATTTATTAATGCATTCGTTTCTATAGATATTTGGTTCTGGCTCTTACACAGGGAACATTCTTGTAATTTTGCCATATAAATAGATTTATTAGTGTATTGCCTTATCTACTGCTGTAAATGTCAGTTTTTAATATAAAAAAGTAAAAAGTTTCATATAGGATTAGGTCAAGTTTCTCAACTGAAGGAATACTTAGAAAAATCACATTTGTATAACTGAAGACAATTTTTATAATATTGATATTAGCACTGATCCAGTTAAAATGATCCAGTTTCTTTTTAGGTTTTGCTTTCAGTTTTAAGTTACAGCTTTTGCTATTGAGCAAATTCTTGAGATATAGTTGGATAGGATGAATTTTGGGATGCAGTTTAGCAACTGTTAGGTTTTATTTTGGACTGAACTATTATACATAGAGAAGACTGTCTTCCCTGTAAAATATAAAAAAGTCAGTATAAATAATCATGTTTGTGGTGCTGACTTGGTGTAAATTGAGATAAATTGTTTTCTCATTTTCAAAAACAGTCAGTGATTGTTACCATGCTTGTCTGTTTCATATTTTGGTTGGGATTGGTTTTGATATCTGTTGAAGGCTTTGACATCTTAATCTGTTATGTCAAAACTTGCCTGTTCTCTTTGATAGAAGTTGCTTAAGTTAGATGAGTGTTAGTTTTCTTTTTTAGGCAGCTGACTTAGAAATATACCAATAAGTCTTTAAAATAGCGAAACATTAGCACTTACAAAAGAATTAACCTAAGTTCATCCCCTCACTTGTTAGACTGCTTATTAGTGGGACTTTTTCATCTAGTCAGCAAGCTGTGCACAGGAAATACTAGTGTGCATCCTCAGCAATTGAGATGGGAAATTGTAAGCAAAAGCTAGTCTCGTGCATTCCTGTGCCCAGTGTCATCCTAAAGAACTTGCTGACTTATGCCAGAGTGGGGTTTAGAGTAAGTTAACAGCTTGTGACGTGGCAGGTGATTGCTGATGCTGCATTTCTCCTCCCCAGGCAGCAGTTTCCCCAAGCAAGCCACCATCTTCACTGGCTTCTCCAAGTCCTCCCACGTCAAAGGGCTCTGAACAGGGCTTCCGGTCGCCTGCAGCAAGCAGTAGTTCAATAACAATTAACACAGCACCCTTTCAAGCCATGCAGACAGTGAGTATGGAACGGGCAGGAACGATGGTTGCAGTTCATGATTCCTTCCACTTGAGTGATTATTTCTCTCACATCTGTTAATTGGTACTTTGTGACAACTTTTCCTTTTATATTACTCTTATTTATAGGGATGGTAGAATTTACATTTGTCCTATGGAAATATTGCTTGTAAAACAGTATTGAACCTGGAAGCTAGAGACCCTAGAGTATTGAGTGGGTTTTTTCTCAGAGCATTGTTCGCTCTGAAAATTAGGCAGAGCTGCGGATTCATATCAAGCAAATGTAATGTGTGGCTGATTTAATCAACAGCAACACTCACCCCCCCCCCGAAGGAATATGTAGGTGAGAAATCTAATTTCTAACAATAGCTAAATAATACTGATCATTCCTAATAGTGAATTAGGAGGTTTCCTAGCATTGGTACCTGGAAATACAGGGCATACACACTTGAGCCTTGATCTTATGCAGGTTCTTGAAAATTTGTTCCTGTTTTTGTGTGATATTTTGAATTATGTATTCCTCTACAAATTTTAGTTTAAAACTTTAAAAAAAAGATAATGTTGCAGCTAGATTTGTATGTTTATTCTCAAAACATGGACTAGCATAAAAAAGTTCCTTTTGTGGAGGGGACCCCTTAGCGGGCCAGAGAGTACCTTTGCTTATGGCACTGATGTCCCACAGCAGCTGCTTCAGAGGGCACAGGAAACAGCACAGTGCAGGGAGAGATGCCTGAGGGCTCAGACATGGAGGTCACTGACCTGTTCATGTGGCTCTTGGCCAGTTTGAATGTTTTCATTTCCTTGCTTTCTCTCTCCCTATTAGTCCATCCTGTGCAGTATTTCCACACTGGGTTTACTGGCTTTTTCTTTTGCCTCATTAAAAGCGAACAGTGACCCATTACAGAATGGCATTGAGTCCTGTGCCGTTCTGAGTACGTTTTGAAGTCGTGTATAACTTGGCAGACACGTGCCCTGGGCTTGCCTTGCTCATTCTTGTCATAGTATGGACTGTCTTCCCTTTCCTCCCTGTCTCCTCTTTCTGTCTGAAGCCTGTCCAGTTCAAGTTGGCTTTCATTCATTCACTTATGAAACAAGTAGTTATGAATCCAGCCACTACTTTTCATCACTGGGATTTTAGTAATGAAAGAAAAAGTGTTGCAGCTAGATTTATGAAGGAGGAATAGGAGCAGAGAGCTAGAGAGTAATAGAAGTGTTCCTTCATAAATTATGTCTGAGTCTAGAAGGTGACTTTCTGCCATATGGTAAAAACTCAGTGAATAGTACATTTCACTTATTTTTAATTTTGAGAAAGAATTCCTTTCTCCTATAGCTTCTATTCTTTGGTGTCATTTCTGTAGAGAATCAAATGGAATTGTTTCTTTTTTTTTAAACCCTATACAGAATTTTAATTTTAATTGACATTTTGCTCAAATGTAGAGAGCAGTGAAAATTTTAATGGCCCGATGTTGGAATCTTACAAACAAAATCTTTGGGTCAAATAGTGACATTAAAAAGAAAAAAATCAGTGCTGTCCTTCAATGGAGCATAAAGATTTCAATTTCATTACAACAATCTAGCACCTTTAAAATAATTACAATTATTAAATATGACAGTTACCATTTCAACAAAGGAAAAATAATCCATTTTCACCAACAGTTCAGACTAACACCAGCACTTTCAAAGTTGAAATTAAATTCATGTAAACACTCCAGCCTGCACAGTGGCCATGCACTTCTTAGGTGAACCCTCCACATTCATGGCTAATAAAGGGATCCTGCTGCATCTCTTAGATTCCCGATCTGAAAGGCTATCATGAGTTTAAAGCCAAGGGCTGCACAAACTAAACAGTACAAAGCAGATTAACGCTTGAGCAGGACAGGGCCCTTGTTCTGATGGGCCAGCGAGGAACATTTTTAGACCTTCTAGGCCAAGGGTGCACATGATAACAGGCCTACCTGATGCAACCCTGACTTCGGGGGGGGCATCTGAGAATACAGCCAGGTGTAGGTGAGGAATGGTGCCCTAAACTGCCTACAGTAGACACTGATTTGCAACTGGAACATTCTAGGTCAGTGACAGAGAACTTTAGAGCTTTCAATGATAGAAACACCCTGCTGGGCCACATGTGCCCTGTGTTTACCACCCCTATTCTAGGTCAATTCAGTATAATAACCTGTCCTCCTTAATGCATTATAACTGAATGGCTCTAAAGAGGGAATGCCTACAAGGTTAGCTTCCCTCCTGTTTCAAGCATTAATAATTAGTCCTAGGGCCGGGGATTTAGCTCAGCAGTTCAGTGGCCTGCCTTGCAAGCGCAGAGACCCGAGTTCGATCCCCGGTACCACAAAAAAAAAAAAAAAAAAAAAAAAAAAAAAGTCCTTTTCAGGGGGGTTCTTAGAGACACAGTATTAGAATTTTTTTTTCTCATGAGCGTTATATCTTTACACTAAACCTTGGAGTTTCAGGCCTTACTTTTAACAAGTACAGCCATTCAAAAAGGAACATTGATAAGCAGACTCAGCAACTAGTTATTTGCATGATGATGTTAGGAAAATATCATTGCTAGGTTTCTTCTAAATCGCTTAGCATTTACCAGCTATCCAGACCAAAGGACATTTCCAAGTAGGAAGGCCCTGATTCCAGCTTCTCCACTGGCATCATAGCTTATTCTGTTCCCCAAAACTTGCAGCAGAACTTGCTTGGCATCATCGACGTTGAATGGGCTTGTAGATGCAAAATGCCCTAAGGATGACAGTCACCAGTAGGGAGCTGAAAATGGTCCCCAGTAACTCCATACGCAGCATAGCATATGGTCGACTCCACTCCAGTGGCTGCACCTGGCTTGGGGCCTTCACCAGCCCTACCTGGAATTGTTTCTTCCTGGGGTAAAATGTATGTAACATAAAATTCACTATTTAATCACTCAGAGTGTGATTCTGTGGCACTAAGTATGTTCACAACGCTGTGCAGCCATTGCACTATTTCCAGAATTTTTTATGATAACCAGAAGTACTGTGCTCATTAAATAATAATTCCCTATTTCTCTCCCTCCACAGTCCATCTCTACTTTCTATGAATTTACCTACTTTAGGTTTCTCATATAGGTGAAATTATGCAATATTTTTCTTTTGATCTGGCTTGTTTCACTTAGCATGTTTCTGAGGTTCAACTATATTATAGTATGTGTTAATTTCATTTCTTATGGACAGCATTTCATTTTATGTATGTACCTCATTTTGTTTATTTAGTTCTTTGTTGATGAGCTCTTGGGTTGTTTTAACCTTGTGCTTATTACGAATAATGCTGCTATGTACATGGGTGTACACTATGTATTCAAGTCCTTGTTTTCAGGTATTTGGGGTATATACCTGCAAGTGAAACCAATGTATCATGTGGTAATTTATGTTAATCTTTGGAAAAGTTTCCAGACTTTTTCACAATGGTTGCACCACTGTATATTTCAGTGCATGAGGGGTCCAGTTTCTCCACGTCCTTGCTATCATGTATTTCCTGTCTTTTGGTAGTAGCCATCCTAATGGGTATGATGTGGTATCTTACTGAGGTTTTGATTTGTATTTTCGTAATGAGTAATGAGGTTGAGCATGTTTTCACATACTTATTAGCTACTTACCTTCAGAGAAATGTTTTTGAAACTTTTGATCATCAATAGAAGTTTTAGAATATTGTGGGTTTTTGCTGGATGGTCCCCTTAGCTGTTTCCTATGAACTTTCACAAATGGCTGAGTGTACCCTTCTCTTTCAAGGTATTTAATGTTAATGCACCGCTGCCTCCACGGAAAGAACAAGAAATAAAGGAATCCACTTATCCACCTGGCTACAATCAGAGTTTTACTACAGCAAGTACACAAACACCACCCCAGTGCCAACTGCCAGCTATACATGTAGAACAGACTGCTCTGTCTCAAGAGACTGGTAAGGTCTTTGCATATGATATTTTGAAAACTTAGATAACAACTAATTTAATAGTAAGTCTATAGGGATACCTTCCAAGTTCTTTTCTGACTAGTAACCATTATTTCTTCACATCCAAAAGTGTTGAGAAAGTTGTAATGTCTTTCTTCATATTGAATAAAGTTGACCTTTTAGTTTTGACTTAGAGATAGAATTTAGATAGTTTGATTTAACCTTATTGACTATGTGTTAATCTAATTGTTTTGATTATTCTAGACAGTAATTGAGGTTGATAGGGCGCTGTAGCTGCTTTTGTGAAGATTTTGAAACCATTTTGTTAATCCTTTCTGTGGCTGGTTATCTGGCAGTTTTTACCTCTCTCTTATGTAAAACATTTATTAATATGAAGATACAATGTAATATGCTTATTATACTATTTCTTAGAGACAGACTTTTGCTCTTTATGCTGCTATAAATTGTGAAAGAAAAGGTAACTTTGTACTTATGTCTTAATTTAAGAAGCACCTTTTGGATTTTTAGTCACCTTTTGGATTTTTAGTCTTGATATTTTAGTCCCACATGAAGTTTTCTAAAACTTAAGCCTGAGCATTGTAGGTGCTTTTTAATCAAATAATAAAGAGACAGTAAATGTAACTTCCTGGATTTAGCCACAAAGGACCTTATTTTGTTCTCACCTGTAGTGTTGACCTTATTCTGTTTTCACCTGAAGCAGTGATTTAAATAAAGGATCTGTTTGTTATATGATTTCTTTTAAAATTCATTTCCTCTTCCTAATCTGGATTATTTAGCTTATTTTTAAAATTGTGATAAAATATACATACATAAAAGACCATTTTAACTGTTTATAATCATATTGTTCTGTGGCATTAACTACAACCAAAGTATTTGCAACCTATCCAGAACTTTTTCATCTTTCCCAGATAAAACTTAATGTCCCCTTCACACTAATACCTTCTTCTCTTTTCATCCCTGGCAGCTACCATTCTACTTAATGGCTGTGAATTTGACTACTTTAGGAACTTCACATGAGTTGCATTATATATTTGTCCTTTCAAAACTGCCATATTTCACTTAGCATAGTATCTTCAAGGCTCATTTGTATTGTAGCATGTGTCAAAATTTCCTACCTTTATAAGGTAGAATAATTGCATTTCAAATATACACATGTGTGTGAATTTTTTTTAAAGGGGAGAAATATATTAAAGGTATTTTGACTATTGCATGTGAAGAGTATTAGACTTTTATTACCATTTAACTTTTTGACTTTAAAATGTTTCCTTAAGCTGCAAATTATCATCCTGATGGAACTATTCAAGTAAGCAATGGTAGCCTTGCCTTTTACCCAGCACAGATGAATGTATTTCCCAGACTCACACAGCCATTTGTCAGCAGTCGGGGATCTGTGAGAGGATGTGCTCGTGGTGGGAGATTACTCACGAATTCCTATCAATCTGCTGGCAGTTATAAAGGTGTGCTCTCGATCAACTTCTGATTTTATAGAATTGGTTTGTCTGTAAATGTACCTGACTCCAGCTATTTTTACCTTATTTTGTTTCCTTTGTCATTGGTATTTATACTATAATAGAGATTTCTTTATTAGTGATTCAAAGAATATTTTTCAGTATACCTTTTCTCTATAACAACTTTTAAACTATAAAAAGCATTAATTCTGCGCCTTATTGAAGTAGAAAGAATGATCATCTTGTCTTGTTTTTCAAGGGATGAATTTTGGTTTACACATTTGAATAGTTTTTATTTTGTTAACTGATTTTGTTAAAAATATGTCATGAAAGATAAACTCTTTTTCTAAAGTTATTTGTCTGCCAGTTAATACTGCAGGAAAGAACATAGAATTTGAGACTATAATTGTAATATTCTTTTAAGTTTTAGTTATGATTACATGTATTCTGGTCACTGCGTGGTAGTAGCAAAAATATTACTTGAGACAGAGAGGCCTTACATACCTGTGCCCTACCACCAACCTTTCCCAGTCCTCACCTGCATTCCAGGAGTAGTACTTTTTTTTGTACTGGGGATTGAATTTGGGACTTTGCGCTTGTGAGGCAGGTAGCAGAACCACTGAGCTAAATCCCCGGCCCCAGAAGTAGTAAATTTCTAAACCTGACTTATTTGAAGTGAGCCGTATTTTCCCCCCCTCGTACTGGGGTTTGAACTTAGAACCTTGCACTTGCGAGGCAGGTGCATTAGTGCCACTTAGCTAAAGTTCAGCCCTGGCCCTGAAGTCAGCCATATTTTACAAATATGTACTTTGCCGTCGAAGCAGTTTTAGTATACCTTTTCTTAAGGTATAAATCTAACGATGGCATTATAGAATCAGTTTAACTCTTAAGGTTGTATAGTTTATTATGCTTTTGCCTATCATTTTATGTAAGTTTTTTGTTTATTAGGTTTTGATACTTATAGAGGACCTCCTTCCATTTCCAATGGAAATTATAGCCAGCTGCAGTTCCAAGCTAGAGAATACCCTGGAACACCTTATTCCCAAAAGGTGAGTAAGAACAGTCATAGGTGAAGAGTAGTACAGTTGTTGATGTTAGCTGGTGTTTAAACTATATAATGGGTCATCATTTATTTTGTAGACAATTACTTAGTTATACAACTACTAGTGAGTCTTGTGGAGGGTTGGGTTGAGATCTTTTCCAATCACCCAAGGAGGATAAATGTCAAATGCTGGTTATATTGAATTGAAAAGTTGTTAAGGACTTTATTAATCATAGTATTTATATTAACTTCTCCACCTTAAGAGAAACTGTGGTTCAGAGTTAAATTGTGTAAGGTCACTCAACAGGTAAATGGTAGAGCTAAGATTGGAATATGTTTTTAGCCCCAGCTCAAGACCCTAACTTTCCTATATCACCTTCAGCTCAGTGTGCCTAACTATTGAGTGTATCAGAATTATTTTTTGTAAGCTTGTTTTTCTGATTTGAATGACTGCAGATTTCCTGTACTGACCGACAGAATGTTAGACGTTCCGTTTTTTTGTATTTTATTTATTAAGTTTTGAGACAGGGTTTGCTGGCACTGCACTCCTCACGTACCAGTGGCTGGCTTCCACCTCCGGCCCCAGGTGGGTTACAGGGATGCGCCACCACTTTAGTGAGCTTTGGCAGGGTGGGGTATTGCTCAGTGGCACCGCACCTGTCTGGCAAGAGCAAGGTCCTGAGTTTGATCTCTCTTACTGCAAGGAAAAAAAATACCTTGGCAACCTCATAGATGATCCCAAACTTATGATAATTTGGCTTAATTCATTTTTCCCTTTGTGGTGGTGTGAGAAGGATATGCATACATTGCGAACCCTACTTCAGAGTTTGAATTTCGATTTTTCGGGCTCTTGATGTGGTGTGATACTCTGCAGTGATCTGTCATCCATGTGCACATAAGGGTGAAAAACCATACTCTAGTGTACTGTGTTGCTCAGCTGCAGTGTTGGGAAGGTTAAGTATTAAATCCTTTTTTTACTTAAAATATTGTCAGTTTATGATGGGCTTATGCGAACATGCCTGTCGGAAGCTGGGGTGCGTCTGTGTGTGGTACCCTACTGGGCAAGGCTGTAACCTGAAACACCTGTGCTTGAAGTGCTGCCAGGTGTGAGGCAGAATAGGCGTCTGTATGGAGGTGGTACTGAAAAGAGCGAACGCCTTGGAATTGAAGTGACTTGGCTTTGACCCCTGGTTTCACCACTTCTCTTGCCTTATGTGCCCTTGGGCCTATGTTTTAACCTGCTGAACTCTAGTGCCTCGTCAGTTCGGTATGGACTTGACTGTTAGCTATTCATCTAACAGGATTGTGAGGCTTCCTCCATGAGGTGCTGAGAAGATTAAGGAACTAATACATGCAACTGCTTAGCACCACAGTGCTGAGACTGTACCAAGCGTGCATATAGTAGCTGTTAGTACATGAACCCCAGGGGCTGTGTGTGAAGAGAGGGTATTGATTAATACAGACTTAAGTAATGAAACTATCTGTTCATAACAGGATTTCAGTATTTTTGTGTTATGCTTTAAATTTCTTTGAGGAAACATAATACATTGATAATACCTGGTGTAATCTCATCACTCTGGGAGGCTGAGACAGAAGGATCACAAGTTCAAGCCCAACCTGAGCAACTCAGTGACTTAAAGGCCCTGTCTCAAAATTAAAAATAAATATTATAATTATCATAATAATAATGAAAAAAATCTGGGAATGTAGCTCAGTGCAAAGGCAGTAGATTTGATTACCACTACCAGAAAAAAAGGGAAGGGAAGGTAGAAAGGGGAAAGGAAAATAAATTGATAACAGTTGCTACCGAGAAGAGGACTGGAAATTTGGATTGGGATTATTCGTATCTTCTTGCCCTATTTTTTCATGAATTGCATGGAGACTGATGCCATTCATACTTAGGAGTCAGTTGGAAGTCTTGCCCCTGAACCTTCATTCTTAATGTTTTGGATCATATTTTTAGGCACTAAGTACATTTACACAATATAGTCTTTTCAATTCCACTGTCCCTAAACAAAAACCCTAAAGAGAACCCCCTCACCCATTGTAGTTTATACTGGTCTTCACAGTTTGACTTATAAATGCAGGAACAAAGAGGCCTGTGCTCTTGTTCTTGCTTTATTATGTCCTCTTATATTGAGGCAAGAGACAAAGGGCCAGGCTGTGCTTCTGAATTGCTATAATTCCCTAGTATTGTGACTTGTATCTAGTGCTCTCGGACTGCTTTACTGCTTTGTATTAACCTCATTGGTCAGGCTAATGAACAGATGAAGCAGTATCTCCACTGTTAGCCTCGATTTGTTTCTCCTGGTGTTTGGGAACTTCTGAGCATCTTCTACTGCTGGGGGACTTTAATCTTATAAATACACTTACCAATCAGTAATTATTGTCTTGCATTTTTGGTGCTAACATGAATATTCGTGTGTTTCTTTTAGGATAATTTCCAGCAGTGCTATAAGCGAGGAGGGACACATGGTGGTCCTCGGGCAAATTCAAGAGGTAAGAAGTATTAAGTGTTGTTTATTTACCCAAAACATAATTGTAGTTCATTTTGTACTCTGTCAAGCTCCCCCCAAAATACAGTGCTTTTAGTATTTATCTTGAGGTTTTCAGTTTGCTTAACTGTAATACTAAAGGAGATACTAGATTACTAGATAGGCTATGGAAGCCAAGTGTCAACCAGAACATGATTTGACCTTAGACATATATTAATTGAGCTGACTTCATATAGTTTCAAGATGGTGGTTTTTATAATAACATGGTAATGGGTACTTTTGTGTCAATACATGCATATATTCAAATAAGCAATGATTAAAATACAGTGACTTGGGCTGGGGATTTAGCTCAGTGGTTCCGGAGCCTGCCTTGCATGCACAAGGACCCAAGTTCAATCCCCAGCACCACAGGGAAAAACAACAAAAAAAACAACAGTGAGCCTGGCGTGGTGGTGCACGCCTGTAATCCCAGCACTTGGGAGGCTGAGGCAGGAGGATTGCTGTGAGTTCAAGACCAGCCTGGGCTACATAGTGAGTTCCAGATCAGTCTCAACTACATAGTGAGACCCTGTCTCAAAACAAACAAATAACAGTGACTTGAAGCAAGAGCAATTTATTTAATAATACTTTTAAAAATGTATACCAACTATTAAAAGATTCAGTGTAATTGAGAAAGAATTAGTGAAGACAGCTAAAAAAAAAATAATTTTTTTTAAGTGCTGGGCTTGAACTGAGGACCTTGTGCTTGTAAGGCAGACTCAGTGCCACTGAGCTAAATCCCCAGCCCTGAAGATAACTAATTTTGTCACAGGAAAACAATCTTTTCACTTTGAGAAAATAGCCAATATTCACAATGCTTTTGCATTACATTCGAGCAATGTTGTGGTCTCTTAAAACATTAACATTTTTCAGCTGGGTTTGGTGGCACACCCTGCTAAAAATTTTTTTCACATTAACTTGGAAATAAGCATTTGCTAGGTATGGTGAGGCACATCTGTAATCCCAGCACTCAAGAGGTTGAGAGAGTATTGCTGTGAATTTGAGGGCAGCATGGGTTATGTAGTGAGTTCAAGACCCACCTTAATTACAGAGCAAGACTGTCTCAACCCCTCCCAGTAAATAAATAAACATCATCATGGTGCTTAGTGCCATCAAAATATATTTGAATGACTAGTAGCAAGTAGTTCTAAAAGTTATTATTATTATTATTTTTTTTTGGTACTGGGGATCAAACTCGGGACCTTGCGCTTATGAGGCAGGTGGGTAGAACTACTGAGCTAAATCCCTGGCCCCTAAAAGTTAATTTTTTATGTAATATAAATTTTCTGGAGCTCTTTTATGTTAGCTGCTTTGAGTAGAATAGTGATTACTGAGCAATTAGCTGATTAGCTTAATGAGAGTTATGATTAAAGATGAAAAGTGTCCAACTTGGATTTTATTTTTTGCTAATTTTAATTGGTTGTGGTAAGTTACCCAACTTTTGGGGGGCACATTTCTTGTTTTTTGGTACTGGGGATCGAACTTGGGTCCTTGTGCTTGCGAGGCAGGCGGTGGAATCACTGAGCTAAATCCCCAGCCCCTTGGGGGGCACATTTCTTAATCTTAAAGGCAATTAAACAAGATTATCTAGGTCCCTTCTAGCTTTAGATAGTATTACCAAAATCTATTACCAGAAAATCTAGGAAAGTATAATTTAGCTACATTTATTGCTTTTGTTTTGGAATTTACTCTAAAATGTGTCTTTGTCTTGTTTCAGTAGCCAACTAATGTTAAATATTGTGTTCGAATCTAACTGCTTCATTATGAGAAACTCATTGTTGCTAATAAAAACAGCAGGGTGGAGTGATTCTTCTCAGGTGAGCAGCCCAGAAAGAGACAACGAAACCTTCAACAGTGGTGACTCTGGCCAAGGAGACTCCCGTAGCATGACCCCTGTGGATGTGCCAGTGACAAACCCTGCCGCCACCCTACTGCCAGTCCACATCTATCCCCTGCCTCAGCAGATGCGTGTTGCCTTCTCAGCAGCCAGAACCTCGAACCTGGCCCCTGGAGGCTTAGACCAACCCATTGTGTTTGATCTTCTTCTGAACAACTTGGGAGAGACGTTTGATCTTCATCTTGGTAGATTCAGTTGCCCAGTGAATGGCACTTATGTTTTTATTTTCCACATGCTAAAGCTGGCAGTGAATGTGCCGCTCTACGTCAACCTCATGAAGAATGAGGAGGTCTTGGTGTCGGCCTATGCCAATGATGGTGCTCCAGACCACGAAACTGCTAGCAATCATGCAGTTCTTCAGCTCTTCCAGGGAGACCAGATATGGTTACGTCTGCACAGGGGAGCAATTTATGGTAGCAGTTGGAAATACTCTACATTTTCAGGCTATCTTCTTTATCAAGATTGAAAGTCAGTACGGAATTGACAATAAAAGGGACGTGTTCACATTAATGAAGAAGTAGCTCTTGACCTGCTGACTGATGGCTTAGGAAAAATGTTCATTCTAGTGGAATGAGGAGGTCCTCACTTTTTTGTTTTCCTGCCCAGGTGAAAATTTTCAAGCTGAGTGACAGCACTAATCTGGCACTTCATAAATTGTGATGTAGCCTCACTAGTCAAGCTGTGAATGTACATTGTTTGCACTTAATCCTTAACTGTATTAATGTTCAGCTTACTAAACTGACTGCCTCAAGTGCAGACAAGTTACAATGCCTTGTTGTGCCTCAATAAAAAAGTTAACCTGCATCTTCATGTGCTCCCATTTGATTGAACATTTAGTTGAGGGGTAAGATGCCACAGTTTTAAAATTTATTAGTGATAACTGTATTCATACGTTTATGCTGTTACTTTAAAAGAAGACTTTTATACATAACAGTTCTTTCTGGGGTCACTTTTCTATGATACATCTCATTCATTGCAAGTTTTGATGTTTTTCCATGGGCCTTTAGTTTCTCTCTTTGGGTACCTGCTGCATGTACACTAATGCAAGATATAATAGGAGATACACAGGTAATGCTCGTCCTACCATCAGGAAGACATGCTTTCTTGTGGATCCTTGATTTAATTTGAGTAAGTCATCAAAAAGTCTATTTTTTGTGGTCAGGCAGTGCTTTTGTGCCTCGATTGCCACTTTGTAACTGATCTTAGATAATGTACCCCTGAAGTCTACATTTTTTAGTTATATGTGAAGGCTTTCGCTTATGTAAATGGGGGTGGTGCAGTGTGGAGTAGATGAAATTGAGCCAAGAACATACCTGTCTAAAAGACTGCTTGGCACATGCGCTTCTAACAGATAGCAGGTGCTGTGGTGTTTCCCCTATTTGAATGCCGCAGGGTTCTCTGTATGTGTACTGTCCCAAGCAGGGCAGGGGGTACTGCCAGAGGTTAGTGTTTATCTAGACATTAGATTTTCTTGTACTGCATGGTCTAAGCTTGTATAGCTTTCTCATTAATGACAGTAAATATTTTATGCCTCATTTACTTTTGTTTTTGAGGCAGGGTCTAGCTGTGTAGTTAAGATTAGCCTTAAACTCACTAGGTAGCCTGGGCTGGCCTCATGGTGATCCTCCTGCCTCAGCCTCTGGAGTGCTGGGATTACTGGCATGCACCACCACACCTGGCTTACCTCATATACTTTAAGAAATTATTTACAAAGGGATTTTGTTTCAGTATTCAGGATTCTATTAAGGATTGGAGGGTGTTCTTATCCATCAGATGTCTAGGTAAGGCAGAGATTTTTTTTTTTTTTTTTTTTTTTTTTTTTTTTGTGGTGCCAGGAATCAAACTTTTGGGGCCTTGTGCTTGGGAGGCAGGCACCAGAACCACTGAGCTAAATCCCCGGCCCATTGTTCGTATTCTTTATGATAGCCGTTCTGGCAGGAGTGAAGTAGACTCTCAGTGTATTGATTTGCATTTCCTTAATGGCTAAGAATGTTGAACATTTTTTCATATAGGACATTTGTATTTTGAGAATTCTCTGTTCAGTTCACTTACCCATTAATTGGGCTGAGTTTTTGTTTTTGGTGGTGGTCTTTATATATTTTAGACATTCTCAGAAGACTAGCTAGCAGAGATTTTCTCCCATTCTGTGGGCCATCCCTTCACTCTTGTTTCTTTTGGTGTGGAGAAGTTTTTAATTTGATAAAGTCCCATTTGTTGATTCTTGACTTGTTGTGCTGCTGGAGTCCTATTTAGGAAGTTTTTACCTGTGCCTGTGGCTTCAAGTATTTCCCTTATGTTTTCTCCTAGCACTTGAAAGTTTTCCAGTCTTACAATGGGTGTTTGCTACATTTTGATCTGATTTTAGTGCAGGGAAAGAGGTAAAGATCTAGTTTCAATCTTTCACATTCAGAGATCCATTTTTCCTAGCATTATTTGTTAAAGAGGCTATGTGGCCGGGTGTGGTGGTGCACGCCTGTAATCCCAGCACTCAGGAGGCTGAGGCAGGAGGATCACTGTGAGTTCAAGACCAGCCTGGACTACACAGTGAGTTCCAGGTTAGTCTCAACTACAGAGTGAGACCCTGTCTCAAAAACACAAACAAACAAAAACAACAGAAATAAAGAGGCTATGTGTTCTCAAATGTATGTTTGGCTCCTTTGTCAAAAATCAGGTGGCTGTAGGTACATCAGTTTTATTGTGTGTCTTCTGTTTTGCTCTGTGTCTGTTTTTGTGCCAGTGGTATGCTGTTTTTGTTACTTGAGTTTTGTGATGTAATTTGAAACCATGCATTGTTTTTTGTTTTTGAGACAGGGTCCTGGTGTGTAGTTCAGGCTGGCCTCAGACTTGCAGCAGTCCTCCTGCCTCAGCCTCGGGAGTGCTGGGATCGTAGGTAGTGTGCGCAACCACACCTGACAAATCAGGCATTGTGTTGCATCCATCCTGGCTCTTTTTGCTCAGGATTGCTTTGGGTCTTCTGAGTCATTTGTGTTTCATGTGATTTTAAGATTGTTTTTTCTAGTTCTGGGAAGCACAATATTGGTATTTTAATATGGATCACATTGAATATATAGATTGCTTTTGGTAATGTGGCCATCTGAATCCATGAACAAGGGATGTCTTTGATTTCTTTCTTCAGTGCTCTGCAATTTTTATTATAGAGGTCTTTTCACCTTCATGGTTAGGTTGATTCTTAGGTATTTTATTGTTTGAAGCTATTGTGATTGGTTTCTAAGGAGGGTCATTATTGGTAATAGGAAAGGTGTTGATTTTCATGTGTTAATTTTGTTATCCTGAGGGTTTGACCAGTTTAATGATGAGGGTATGATACATTGGAGGCCGATCAATCCTCCAAGCTGCCTAGAAAGGGGCACAGGCTGAAGAAAGACAATAAAGACATAGTTTTGAGGTACATGGGGGCTGGGAGGTCAGTGCCAGAGTGGACAAAGACAGAGACACTGTGAGCTAGCCATTATTTATGGGTACACACAGTAATTGGAAGGAGTATTGGGCAAAGCCTTCTTAAAATAGTAGATGGGACAAGATAAGTAGTAGGCTAATGAGGAACTTGTCCTTCCCCCAGGTGAAACTTTTTTTTTATTACTCGGTTCTCAAAGAACCAGGATATCTCCAGCTGGTATCACATTGCCTTTGATCATCACAGTGTCACAGGACCATTGAGGCCTCGACGTGTGTCCAGAGGTACACAGAGTTATTTTCTGCATACCACAGCTGACATTGGGCCTTAGTCCTGATCACACTTTAATTATGAAATGCTTTTCCCCAAATTAGGTAGAATGGCTCTTGACAGATCCCCCTTTTCATTTGCTTGTAGAAGTTGAATCATCATGATCTGTGCTTGCGACAATTTCAGATGTCGTCTCGTTGGAGCTCCTCTGCAGCAGACTGAGAGCAAAGAGACAGAATCCAATTACTACTGGCCTGACAATATACGACCAGAAATGATCCTTGAGATAATGGGATTCAGCTGATCAAGTGCATCAGAAAAGTTATCCCAGTTTTGAATCTGGTTATCAGAATCAGCAGTCTGTTAGGACATAGATAAAACTTCTTTCTGGAGGGCATCAGGATCTGTAGTTATATTTTTGTGCATTGCTCCTTGAACATGCTTTTTAACCTGTTCCCATGAGTGGCTAGATCATTTATAAGGTAAAGGAGTAATGCAAAATCAAGTAGTAATATAATGACATTTGAGGCCTTGTAGCTGTAAACTTTCAATCTGGTCTATCCAGAGAACAGTAGCCTCAAGCACACTTCTTTGGGACTGTAGCTTAGCATCTATAGAATACTATGTTTTCAGGCCTCATCAGTAGTCTTGGTCTAAATAACTGAAATGAGCTGTTTGAATGGAGTGGGATAAGGCAACAGAGGAAGCAGCTGTACTTGAAATCAGTAATACCAAAGAGATTGCCAGCAGTGATCAGTCCAGGATTCTTTTTGTTCTATGTATGAAATGATCAAGCAGGACTTGCAACAAATGAGCAGTAAGTGTATATGACCATGGTTCAGTTAAATTAACAGGAACCCATCCTCCTGGCATATGCCCTCTGATCATTAGAGATGTGTTTGGTACACATCTGAAGGGAGTACAGTGACTCGTGGTGCATTTTTTGACAGGTAAAAGTATTAGTATCCCAACGCTTGTTCCCAGACATGAAAACATATGGGCTACAGATACATATGGGGTTTTGGACAGGCCAGTAATACTCTGTTAGCAGTATAGTGTTGGGGCCAGTCATTTAGCTGAGTGGTGCTGCTGCCTGCCTTGTAAGTGCAAGGTCCTGAGTTTGATTCCCAGTACAAAAAAGTATAGTGGGCAAGAATCTGATTTTAAATCATTACCCTAAGCTTCCTTCAATATATAGGGAAGAGCCAATTTTCATAATGTTTTTTTGGGCAGGCCCAAGTTTTCCATAATGTAAAAACTGGGGAAAAGTTAAAACCTATCCAATTTATTTCCCAAGTAGGCATAGATGTTTTAGTCACATTATCAAGTTTAGTAAAGTTTAATTTATACATTTGTTATTGTCCTCTCTTCCCACAAAATTTCCCCATGGTCCCCAGTCAATAAATTCATATGGTCAAATTAAATTTTCCTTCTATTCTTTTTTTTTGGTACTGGGGATTGAACTCTGAACCTAGTGCTTTCGAGGAAGGCGATGGAATCTCTGAGCTAAATCCCCGGCCCCTTCCTTAATCTTCTTGATTGGCCTCTACAAGTATTTCATGGTGGAGGTACATCTTTATGAAATCCATTCCATGTAATATGAGCCTAACAAATTGGACTTTTGAGTATGAAGGACCTATTTGTTCTTTGACCACATGAATGGACCCGAGGGTTAAGGTTTTCAGGGGCATGGGCCAACCAGATCTAAGATGAGGCGCCATGACAATAATTAAACTGTATGGAAGTATCTTCCCCACACACGGGAGGATAAGTAAAATGAAAAGTATAAATAACATTTGTTTTATCTTTCATGTCCGTAGGGGTGACTGGGCCTAGAGTCAAATCCACTGTAAATGTGATGTGTCAGTTCCATAATAAATTTCAGATAGGAGATGCATCCAAGTGACTGGTCTAAGCCAGGGAGGGTTGGGGATGTAAGCGCAGTGCTCTATCCCTGACCCTGGGGTGTACACACTGCTCAGTTGTGAGAGCTACCATAGCAACAGTGTGGGGAGTGTGTGCCAGGCTCTGATGTTTTACCAGTGGGTTTTTGACTCCAGGCTCTTGTTTGTGATTGGTTTTGTCTCTATCATTGGTGTGGGTAGAGTTGCTGTCAGCTGATTATTAAAACTCATCT